CCCCCCCCCCAATAGCTAGCAATCCAAAACAGTCCAGTGGAGCCTGAGCGGTGGGTGTCTCCTTCTGACACACTTCCGGTGATGTCCGGGGGTGTGGCATATGCAAATAAGTTATGCTAATAAGTTATGCTAATGAGCTCCTGCACCTCCTTTTCTACGAAATGACCCCTGGGTTGGATCCAGCGCAAAACTTTCTGCTTCCGCCAGAGCTCTTGCGGAAACACACGAAAAACACCGGTAGCTGCTTCCAGTACTATAGGCTTATTGTGTCCCCTTGCGTGAAACTGTGAAGCCAATTTCCAGGCGCTATAATATAAGAAGAAGAAGAGATTGGATTTATACCCCGCCCTTCACTCGGACTCTAATCTGGGAGAAACGAGTTTGATTCCCCACGCCTCCACTTGCATCTGCTGGGTGACCTCGGGCAAGCCACAGTTCTGTCAGAGCTGTCCTTGAAAGAGCAGTTTCTCTCAAGAGCTCTCTCAGCCCCACCTACCTCACAGGGTGTCTGTTGTGGGGAGGGGAAGGGAAAGGTGTTTGTAAACCGCTCTGAGACTCTAAGTGAAGGGTGGGGTATAAATCCAATCTCCTCCTCCTCTTCTTAATAGCAGCTGAAGAAAGGGGAAAAGAGACTTCTTTGCAGGAGTATACAAGAATTGGATGTGGTTATTTTTTAAAAAGCAGATATGCTTTCCCCCCTTGTATAGCTACCTACATGATGGGAACCCGAATATGGACTCTTCTTCTTCCAAAGGTACGAGCGCTATCTACATTAGAAGGTAACGAGAGAACTTTGGAGGGATTCGGTGTATCTATTATACACACTAAAAAGTGAAGGATTATTTGGGTTAGCAGAATGCTCAAGGCTTATAATGCAGCAGAGCCTTTCTGGTTTGCGTGTGCTTAGACGGTAACGTGAGAGAACTTTGGGGGGGATTCGGTTTATCTGTTATACACATTAAAAAGTGAAGGATTATTTGGGTTAGCAGAGTGCTCAGGGCTTACAATGCAGCAGAGCCTCTCTGGTTTGTGTGTGCTGACAAGTAACAAAAGTTACACACTGAGCCTCTTTATCTTTGCAAAACTAATATGAGTCCTTTATTGTAAGGAGCTCCCTTCCAGACAGGATAGAGCAGAGAGAGACTAGATTAGAACCCTAACTAGCTAGGACAGATAGAGATGCAGGAAGCCTCGTGGTGCCAAGATGGAGAAGGCTGGCATAGTGCGGAGAGAAGGCGTCAGACTGGCAGGAAGGAAGTTTCTGTGAGAGTAGCAATCTACATATCAAAGGGATAGCATCAGACCAGTAGAAAGGGAAGGATGAACAGGGTCCTGCCTATCTCTCTCTCTCTTATAGTCCTCCCTTGGAAGTCTGAGACCATGAGACAGCATAAAGTCCTTTACCACCAACAAAAAGGTGGGTGCAAAACTCCTGCTGCTGTTTTGGGGTATTTTAGCTTTTGGGGCAGCATACACACCTAACCCACAAACAGAAGTAGGTGCATAAGAACGTAAGAGAAGCCATATTGGGTCAAGCCAATGGCTCATCCAGTCCATGTCACACAGCGGCCAAAACCCAGGGGCCATCAGGAGGTCCACCAGCAGGGCCAGCAGGTCTTTGGTTTTAGGGTGAGCTTACTCACACGCAGACACACACATCTCAGCACATTCAATGCAGCACATACTGCTGAAGCAATGATTACTGATTGCCTCTAAATCCATTTTCCCCCACCCAAATGCTTCAGGGCAGGCAGGCTGCTTTTTTTCTTTTTTAAAGTTCCTTTTATAAAAATAGTTTTGCTTGGATGGGGAAATTGCCTGCTGAAACAATAAAGAAGTTGTGTTTGGGGGGGGGGGTTGGCTTGAGGGCCAGCCAATCAGCACTGTGTACGGCTCCTGCGGCTACATCTCAAAATATCACGTTTCCTTTGAGTCCATTCCAGTGTTGCGGAGTGGCTGCAGAATGCAAGCACTCACCTGGTGAACTCACCTTGGATCCTACAGCAACATCAGACAGGGCAATGCAATAATGGGTTCAGCGGGGCGGGGCTTTGGTCTGGAATGCCTGAGCCTTCTTACTTAACTCCCCCCCCCATTACAAATCCTCAAAGGGGAGGGAGAGGCAGCTGTTTAAATAGTCGGTAATCTAATGGGCAAGGGGAGGGGGGTGATGGTACATTATGCTTGGTTAGTGCAGTGAAGGAAGGGGGGAAATTGAGCGGAAGATAACTTGACAGCCCTGATTAGTTTCTCCATAACATCCTTTTGTGCTCTGGGGTGGTTAAAGATTAGCAAAAGGGAAGACTCTCTCCTCCCCTTCCCACCCTCCACACAATGCATGCTTCATTGTATTGGGGTAGAACAGATCGCAATCTGTATTTGACAAAAGCCTGCCGGTAATAATGCTCCGTACACAACTTTGTACGGCATTCCCATGGGCCCTTGCCTATATTCTGAGTCCTGATCCCTCCCGGTCTATGGCTGGCAGGGTAACAACACAGTTGATATACTACTGTAGAAACAGGGATTGCTGCAGCAGAGCTAAAAGCAAATCTGTGCTCTGCACTGGGGTGACTTTGACTTTTGAGAGCTAATAGCTGGGCAAATGGAATTGGTAGGTGAGTGGGCGGATGTCCTTCAAATGCAGACCCAATTACCCCAACAAACAAATCTCCAATCAAACCTGTCTGAGCTAAAAAGGGTTTAAATCTGTGTTTACACAGAAGGAAGATAATAGGTGGGAAAGCAATTGGATGGGATGGAAACCAGCTGAATCTAGAAGCTTGTCTTGTGGCACTTTCTGTAGCAATTTTCGGTGGCGGCTCCTACCTGGTGGAATGAGCTCCCGGAGGAGATCCGGGCCCTGCGGGACCTTGTACAGTTCCGCAGGGCCTGTAAAACGGAGCTCTTCCGCCAGGCTTTTGAGTAGGACCCGCCGCCACCATTATTCCACCAACGCCTTTTCATCACCGCACTCTACTACCGCAGGTGCAGGCATCATCGAGGGTGCGGGACGTCCCTAGTGGATGACAGGGTTGGGGGGACATATATTGCTGCTGTTGTTCAGCTATAACATCTTTAGAACACCATCTTGGTTTTATGATTTGGAGTGGTTATCGGAGCACCGAAATAGTATTTTTACTAATTTTATTTAAACTGTAATATTCTGTATTATTGTATTTTATACTGTTTTTATTGTCATAATCCGCCATTTTGCCCTTGTTAGCCGCCCTGAGCCTTCGGGGAGGGCGGAGATACAAATCCAAAGAATGAATAATAAATAAATAAATATGGAATGGACCACATGGCTGTACAGGGGGATTGTTGCTGTTGCCGCCAAGTCAACAGGTCAAGAGGTAGTTTTGCCATTGCCTGCCTTCGTGTAGCACCCCTGGACGTCCTTGGTGATCTCCCAACCAAATACTAGCCAAGACTGACCCTGCTTAGTTTTCGAGATGCGACAGGGTCAGCTAGCCCAGGCTATCTGGGGAGGCTGATAATGTGTAGAATGGCAGAGGTGTTTTCATATGTACATCAAACATAAATTCATCACATCCCCTGTACAGAAGAGGCACCACTGAAGTAAGCCAGCCGCTCAACTATAAGCCAAACAACCTGCAGAAGAACAGCTAGATTTCAGTCCTGGTGCACCTTAAGAGGCCAACAAGATTTTCAGGTATACGTTTTTGAGAATCAAAGCTCTCTTTGTAAGATATGACTTCCTGGGTATAAGCTTTCAAGAGTCATCATTGGATACAAGTAGGATCTCCATTCCTACTCGTATCTGATGAAGGGAACTTTGACTGTCAAAAGCTTATGCCCTGAAAACCTCGTTGATCTCTTAAGGTGCTGCTGGATTTGAGTCTAGCCCTTCAACTGCAGACCAACACGGCTACCCTCTGAAGCAGCCCGTAGAAGAGAAACTTAACCAGCCACTGACTCTGTTCCTGCTGTCTAGTAGGGGAATGTTATAAAAGATCCCTGACGTGGACTCTGATAAAGCTCTCCTATAATGCCCACTCGTACAAACCTTTCTAGTGGTATTGGGACAACACAGGCAGCTTTATCAAGGATCCTTCTCCTGCCTGGATATAATGTCCCTTTGTTTATGAATTAAAAAGAAATTGTGGGCTTCTAACTATTTACAGAAAGGGCTTCTTGTTGTTCAGTTGCACAGTCAGGTCCCACCCCACCCCCAATGGTCCCGGCCGCCGCCACCGGCCTTGCAGCTCCATGAGGGGCCCGGCGGTGGACCTCCAAGGCCGGCGGGAGTGCTAGGAAGCCCCGCGAAGGCCCTCCCTGGCCCCAGGCAGGCAGGGGTGGGGAGAGGCAGGGAGGAAGCAACTTACCCTCCCTCTTCTCCTGCCTCCTCCTGGCTGAATGAGGGCCGGAAGCGGGGCGGCCAGAAGCAGGGGGCGGGGCTTCGTCATGTGCCCCGCCCCCCGTACCTCACCCGGGGGAACTGCGATCCCCCCCGAAATGACCTCTGCATTCCAGGTTCCTATGCAGTATTGTTCTTTGCAGCATCGGACTTTCCTTTCACCATCAGACACATCCACAACTGAGCGTCCTTTCAGCTTTGGCCCAGCCACTTCACTCTTTCTGGGGTTACTTGTACTCGCCCTCTGCTTCTCCCTAGTACCATATTGGACACCTTCCGACCTGAGGGGCTCATCTTCCGGCATTATGTCTTTTAGCCTTTTGTTACTGTCCACGGGGTTTTCTTGACAAAGATACTGGAGTGGGTTGCCATTTCCTGGGCATCCTTGCCAAAGAGTTCTCTCTAACCCTGTTCACAAGTTACAGTTAATGCATGCATAATCCTTGTAAAGCACACGCTCGAGGGGGGGTTTATATGTGCATTGAGTAATTTTCATGGTACATTCAATGCATGAACAGCTGAACATGTAACTGCCTATATATCCAAGGTACTGGTCCCCAGTTTCGTTTGTAAAATGAACAGCCATTGGCTCTTTCTTAGATGTACGCACCTACATGCAGGGTCTGTATGTGTTCACTGTTTTCTGGGCTCAGTCTTTCTTTGTAATGAACAGAACGGGAGCCCCTAAAGGTCTAGTAAATAGAGCAAACCTCAAGTTTAGGAAATGTTGGTTTCCTTGTATCTGTCACAGACTGTGCCATGTGGCTTCTCCAGCAAACTGGGCATCCCCTGACATCTCAAAATGAATAGGGGCTGAAAGGCCAGTGGCATCAACTCTGCCCAGTACCTTTCTCACACTGAGTCAAGATGCAAGCAAATGACTGTGGTGGCTGGCAAGAGAGGCTGTGGTAGAGTTGTTGTACCTGGTCATTCTTCCCATGCACGGACACACCAGGCCAACAGAAGGGGAACTCTGATAAGCTTTTTGTGGCTGGTCTCTGCTTAGAGGAAAGAGGCTCTGAAGAGACAAAATGTATAAGAGTGAAGAGGGGGGTGGCTTTGGGATCAGGTTAGGGTTGCCAGCAGTCCCGGAGAAAAATGCCCTGTCCTTTAAATAGAGGCTTAAGGTGTGGAAGTGGGCAGGTGAACCTTTTCATGGCATGGGACTAAATAACGTCCCGTTAAGCCTCTGTTAAAAGGACAGGATGCATTTCTCCAGGCCTGTTGACAACCTTAACTTAGGGGCTTGCTCACTTACATCTTGTTTATTTGCAGCCTTTTTTCATGGGCTGGGGAAGAGAGGGGAGGGATCGGTTGCCAATCTCTGATTGGTTGTCTGAACAACAGGGATGTCGGTATTTGCTATAGATGCTGCCTTTCATCTTCCTTGAAGTGGGGCCATTTGACACTAGTACAAGCAGAATCTATTCAATGCTGTTTCTTCTACCTGAGAGCCTTTCTGAAATATTGTCATTATAGAGGTTTTGGGAAACACCAATAGGCCATGTTGGCTGGGTAGCGCATAGTCTAATCCTTTCCTCTGCATGTCATTTACAGGTTCTGCGTGAGGACTGACCCGAAGCAGCAGCAGCAGACAGAACTTTTTCAAGTACACGAATTGATTTAAATAATCCCGGTCCTGTCTTTAACATTTTTAATCCACAACCCGGTTGGAAAGATTTTAATCTGCTTTTTAAAGTTCCTGTTTGTTTGATTTTAAATAAATAAACTGCATTCTCTTTTTGGGAGCATTCGCTGACTTGAGCGGGTTGAGGAGGGAGCTTCTTAAGGATGTGTTACAAAAGCCTCCGTCCTATAAACATCCAAATTACTGCAAATAGAGTAATACTGTTTATTCTACTTGTAGAATTAGGGTGACAAAGAGGAAGATGTTGCCTGTGTAGAGCTGGGGAGAAAAGGGAATGGGGTAGCTGCGGTAAGGTTCCCTGGCTCGAAAGCCAGTCGAATCTGACTCTAGGGTTGCAGTGCTCATCTCCGTTTCAAAGCCGAAAAGCCAGCGCTGTCCGAAGACATTTCCCGTGGTCATGTGGCCAGCATGACTAAACACCAAGGCGCACGGAACGCTGTTTCCTTCCTACCGAAGTGGTACCTATTTATCTACTTGCAATGTCTTGCTTTCAAACTGCTAGGTTAGCAGGAGCTGGAACTAGAGACGGGAGCTCACTCCGTCATGCGGCACACTCGGGTCTCGAACTGCTGAACGACCGACCTTCCACAGCCTGCAGTTCAGCGTCTTAACCACCTGAGCCACCGCAGCTCTGGAAGGTACAACCCTCTAAAACCTTCTTCACCACCGTGAAAGGTCTGAAGTGCCGTGGAAGAGAGGATGCACAACAAGACACACAAAGCTGCCTTATACTGAATCAGATAATTGGTCCATCAAGGTCGGTGTTGTCTGTTCAGATTGGCAGCGGCGCTCCAGGGTCTCAGGCAGAGGTCTTCCACATCACCTACTCAGTGTTCCCTCTAAGCTGAGTTAGTGTGAGCTAGCTCACAGTTTTTTAGCCTCCGGCTCACACATTTCTGTCTCAGCTCAGGACGGATGGCTCCAGAGCAAACTGAAGTAGTGAGCAGTGACTCACAAAAGCTCCTACCATGCCACATATTTTGTTAGTTTTTAAGGTGCCAACTGGACTCTTGCTCTTTACTACTAACTTTCTCAGAGGTAATGGGCGGGGGGAGATTAATCACCTGGGGCAGTGGGTAGAGAATCCCATAATTTTGGTGCCAGGACCAAAGAGGCCCTTTCTCAGGTTGCCACCCATCTACCCTCATATGACAGGAGCCATTGCTATTGCCTTCCTTATTGTTCCTGTGTTATGCCAATAAAGGTCTATGTATATGTATGAATGACAGGAGCCCCTGAAGATGACTCTGTAAGTGGTCAGGTAGGTTCATACGGGAGTTGGCATCCCTTAACCGGTGCTGGTCCTCAGCTGTATAGGGATTTAAAAGTCAGTGCTGGCACCCTGCATTGGGCCTGGAAGCAAATCTGGAGTGTGGGTAGAACAAGACTGGAGTGGGTAGAATCTGCTCCAGTCAGCGTTCTGTACCAGTTAGAGCTTTTAGACATTCCCAGGGCATTGCAGGACTCTGATCAAGACATTACCAAAGCATGCAGTGCACCAGAGTGGTAGGATCTGTTTTGCCTGGTAAAATTCTGCTGTCTTACCAGCCGAATCTGGAGAAAGGTGCTCTTGACTGCCATCTGTTGTTTATCTAACAGGCAGTGTTCCCTCTAAGCTGAGTTAGTGTGAGCTAGCTCAGTTTTTTAGCCTCCGGCTCACATATTTGTCTTAGCTCAGGAACGATGGCTCCAGAGCAAACTAATTTATGCAGCAGCCAAATCTCCTGCTCACAACTTTAATGCCAGTAGCTCATAAAGTAGAATTTTTGCTCACAGGGCTCCACAGCTTAGAGGGAACATTGCTAACAGGAGTCCTGGGTCTAGCATATCCCCAAGCTTTGAATCCGCTCCTTCATGGACAGCATAACCACATTCAGAACAGCAGATACCTCAGTTCCTCGGTCGGTCCTTTTACCCATCAGTAGCACCTCTGCATATTGGGAAGAGGTTTTGCCTTGTTAGCCCTCATCCATCCCGTAATTGCCTCCAGGCACTGCTCCAGTTTCCACAGCCTCCCTGGGATCTGCTGAAAACACAAGGCGGAGCTGAGTATTAAGATGCACATAAGGTGAAAATCCCAATCCAAATCTCCAGATGACCTCTCTGAGTGGCTTTGTGTAGATGGTAGAAAAAAGTATGGGGATCACGATATACTGAATCAGACAATTTATCAAGGTCGATATTGTCTGCTCTGACTGGCAGTGGCTTTCCATGGTTTCAGGCAGAGGTCTTTCACATCACCTATTATAAAGATAAAGGTTCCCTTGCTCGAAAGCCAGTCGAATCGGACTCTAGGGTTGCGGTGCTCATCTCCGTTTCAAAGCCGAAGAGCCAGCGCTGTCCGAAGATGTTTCCGTGGTCATGTGGACAGCATGACTAAACACCAAGGCGCACGGAACGCTGTTACCTTCCCACCGAAGTGGTACCTATTTATCTACTTGCAATTTCTTGCTTTCGAACTGCTAGGTTGGCAGGAGCTGGAACGAGAGACGGGAGCTCACTCCGTCATGGGGCACCCTAGGGTCTCGAACTGCTGAACTACCGACCTTCCACAGCCTGCAGTTCAGCGTCTTAACCA